TATTTCAGTGCATAGGTTGCCTTTCCCTGTTCTTTTAGAGCCTTATAATTTTTATTTGCCTGTAAGGTTTTTACCCCGGTATATCCTATCAAAAAAAATCCACCTCTGACTCATCTGTTTGAGACTGTAGATAATAATCATGGACTGGGGGAGGGATAATTAGATCGTTTTGAGCGAGACAAAGACTATCATCTCCTGAACTCTGTTGTCTTTCCAGACACTGACCTTCTCTTTACCTAGCCGGGAACAGCAAAAAGGGCAGTAAAAGAACATTAAGAGGGGGCCCGTAGCCTGTAGTTCACTGGCTTAGACATGCTAAAACTAGTAACCTGATAGAGGAAGGCAAACAAGAAAGCCTTCCTTATGTGATCCCAGGTAAGTCTGCTGAACAGCAAATTGCTTACTCGCTATTATTTTCAGATACCACTGGGCACTTTTAATCACAATTTTGAGAAATCCATTAGATGTACTTACTGGAGCCAAATTTTGGGTGTGGCTGTGCCTCTCTTGAGGGAACACGCTAAGGGTAGTATTTTAGGGGTTCCCTTTTTATTTCCATATCCACTATGGCTGGCGCTTACCACCTACTAGTCGTACCCCAAAGTATCACCAGGTTTAAGAGCTTCAACCCTCTTAGGCCCCTCATTTTCAAGCAAACTCATGTGCATGTAACTTTGTGCCCCGGGTTTCATAGGAGCTCCGTGTCCCCGAGGCCCTCACCTCTCCTCGGGGACCTCGGGGTGAGGGCAGGGCCCACCTGCACCTGCGGCAGCCCCGGGGGTAGGCCGCGGGCCCACGGCTCCTCTAGTGAGCCCGGGGTGGGAAAAGGCGCCGTTTCCGTACCGTCAGCGCTAAGCCTCTTCTCCATCTTGTGCCCGAGGAAAAGGGGAAGGATGGTTCCCAGCCCGCAAGAGCGGGGGGGAAGCGGTCGCCCATTCCGCGCGGGGGCGAAGGCTCGCAGCCCTCCTGACCCACAGGGCGCGGCGGCGCTGAGGTAAACCCGGCGGGCTCGGGCGGGAGGCCGGGCCCTACGGCGTCTCCCTCCGGCAGACG